AGGGATAGATATCCATATTGGAGAGGTTGTGGTAGTAGCATGGTCCCGGGCCGAGCCTAATCAGGAATAAGGCCAGAAACCGTCCTGGTTCGGCGGGGCATTGGTCGATATGTACGGTAGAACGTAATCGTGAGGGAGGTCATCTCCTCCGCTGATAGAAGCGCGAACAAGACCGTAGCCATTGCCATGATTTTGGTCTTCGGTGGAGGCCGGATGTGCAGGGGAAAGGAATGAGGCATGCTGCCTTCGTCCGAGGTCGGACACATGCTGGCAGCGTCTTCCTTGCATTCAGCTATGGGCCCAGGCAAAGAAGAGGAAGAGCCCTGGCCAGGGCGTAGAGAGGGGCCTCGACTGATAACTCTACACGTGATAGAGTTCATTGGCCCGCGCGATAGGGGACTCTTACCACTTTTACCCTCCAAACCACAGCGGACCAGGGGGCCATGACTTGCGCTACAGGGGATGGCGTACAGGGGGCCACCCGAGCCACAGCAAATGGCGGGGCAGGACCAGGAAGTGGCGGGCATGTGCCGGCTGCCGTCTCGTCTCTTCTGCGCCATCATCTCCTGGCCAAGTCGCTCCTTTTCAACATGGTCTTCCATCTCGACTTCCATCAATCGTCGTCCAACCAGCCACGGAGAGTAGCAATCTTCATCTCTCTCCTCCCGCCAACCGACAGCTCTACCCTCCACAGTCTCGAATCCGAGGGACTACGACCCCTCGTAATTGGTGGAGATAACCTTCCAAGCATGGTTTCCTAAGAACGGCTTGGGCCACTGGGGAAGTCTCCACGGCGGAGAAGATCAAGATCCCAGTCACCCTCCAAGTGCTCGCCTCTCCAGCATGCGAACCCCCCTCCCTCCCCCCTCGAAGCCCTCACCTTCCCAATGAGGAACACGCCGGGGCTCGGCCCAACGACGCGCTATTCGACATGCAGGCAAAGCAACGCGCCTCTTCAAGCCTCTGCCCGTCCTGATCGCCCCCTTCTCTCTCTCTCCCCCCAAGGTTCGCAGGAAACGTGCCAGGCACCGCGCACTCTAACAGGGCAGCTGATAACACACCCCTACCCATGTCGGGACCTGCCGGCCATCTCCATCTCTTGGATCTGCCGTCCTGCGCTGGACCACCGCATCCATTGACGAATCCCCGTCGCCGACGTCCTCTCTGCGATCAGAGACAGGCCCATCACCCCCATCCCCGTGCTACCGGTTGCCTTCGGGAATGGCCGCCCCTCCCATCTGGCTGG